GCCCCGCACAGTCTAGGAAACGTGGTCGGTGTGGCCAAACTGAAGTTGGTAAAACAAAGCTGCGCCTTTCCGCGAGGAAGCGCTGCGGAGTGGAGGTCTGATTATGAGAAGCTATTAGACCTCGGCAGACTGTGGTAAGAGCCCTGATGAAAAGGTGGGGCACACAGGACGCAGACATTTAATATCTTCAGTTTGCGAGGCCGTGCAAGGACGTGTAATCTATTACACAAAGGCAGTCTCTGAGCTACCTTCAGCTGAAAAGGTCTTTGAAATTTAAGTTTCATGCATTTTTATTTGGGGCCCTGGAGACAGCCTTCTATCAAGAAAGTAGGTCCTTTATTCCAAGTGTACCTGTGTTCTGTCCATAACGCATCCTGTGGGTTTTGCTTGTTGGCATGTAGATAAGATATAATGACTGGGGTCATGAGTTTTAAGAGTATTTCTTTCTTTTAAAATTCACCTAGAAATAGGAACTTAAAAAATTAAATGGTAATTCTGACATAGCGTTGAGGAAAGTCACATGAGAACATGGAAATGTCATGATTTTTCTCATAGTACTTTTAGTTTAAGGGATTTTAACTATCCAAGTTAAGACTTTGGCTTATTTCAATGATTACTATTGCCTAAGATGTATAAATTCATCCCAACAAATTATTCAAACACAAACTTCTTCGTTAAATTAAAATATATATATATTTTGTCAGTGAATGCTGTTAAGCATGCCTCCTGAGGAAATACCAGAGCATTTATATCTCAAACTTTCCTTCAAAATGTCTATCCTCCACAGCTTATATGAAATCAACTACCTCCCAGGACTCCCTCATCTTCCCTTCCTGGCATCAAAGAACTACAAAAAAAGATAATCTAGGAAACTACAAAAGTCTTTGTTTAATGCAAAAGCTCTGCACAGTGAGTTGTCTCCTCTAAAACTGTATTCGCCTTAAATATACCCATTTGCCCCTGGAAGAAATCTCCATTCTAATTTGTAAGCTCTTTAATGACTTCATTATTGATATTGTTGTATGAACTCATCATATTTCTCTCTCATTTTTACAATTATTTACTTTTAACTATTTTAACAATAGCATCTATTGTGTGTTCCAGCACTATGCTGAATAGTTAACGTGCAGTCTTACAGATATATAGGGTATATACGACTACTGTCCCCATTTTACAGATGAGAAAACTAATGCTCAAAGGGGTTAAGTGAGAAGGTCAAACATCTGACAAATGGTGGAACCAGGATTTTAACACCACAGGATCTGGTTCTAGTGTCTAAGTGGTTACCTACCATGCTATATCACCCTTCAAGCTGTAGTCAAGTTTCAGCCAAATTCACACTAGGTTTGCTTCTCCACTGTGAAGAGGTTATTCAGATTGAAGATACATATTCATTTCTTTGCTTTTCTTCTCTCCTAATGCATGCACTTGGGTTCTTTCACACCTGATTTGACTCTCCACCAACTAACCAGCATTGAAAGCCAACCTTAACACTTGTGAGTAGCTTTAGCCCTTAACTGCATACATTGGGGACCTGGATATCATTTTTTTAAAAAAGGTCTTACTTAGATGATTGATTATTTATGGACCTCTGAGGGCTACCTGTAGGGGGAAAAATGGCGTAGTGTCATCAACTCTGCTCTTTTCCTGAGATTACAGTTTGATTTGGTGTATGACCACTTTTACGCATACTCCCTACTGTGAATACAGTGGGAAAGCCCATTAAGATTATTTCTAACATTGGCTGCTAAGATAAAACACTCTTTAATTCCCTTAATTAGCTCCTAAACTTCCTTTTTGCATATTTGTTCTAAAATTACTGACCAATCTTAACAGCTCCGTCTTTATTGCTTATTGCTCTCGTCAAGTGTGCGGAGCCGTGCTCTCTTGCTGATGACCGTAGATGTCACTTCACAGTGCTACTAACTGCCCTGACCTTGCCCGGCCTTTCTAGTTTCAGAGGTAAGTGAGAAGCAGAATTGGAGCGGTGAGTCTTCCATGATTTTCTGATCTGCAGGCCTCTATACTGTTCTGCTTCTTTGGGAACATGCCTCACAGCACCCAAGCCTGAAGTCCTGGCCCCCATCAGAGAAGAGGGTATGCTTTCCCAGCTACGGTGTCTGAAGGAGACAGAGGAACAGCTCTCCCACCCCTGTGCGTTTTTGCTGAGAGCTCTCGGGGCACGGAGAGCTAGTGTCGAGTCCACTCTCCGCCTGTCTCATAGTCGGCACTTTGCACTTAAGAACAGTGATTATGAAGCCGTTTGAAATGAGGTTGGGTAGCTTTCTCTGTGTCGAAGCTGACTTCATCAAGGCTTTGGACAACTTCAAGATGTGCTGAAGTAGCTGGTGCTCTTTTAAATTTCTTTTTGAAAGCCCCAGAAATTCAGTCCCTCCATGAAATTCTTAGTAGTCTTTTAGGGCTATTTACTATACTGTCCTCATGAGTCACACCTTATTATCCAAGTTACGGTCCCCTTCGCTAAGAATTGGACCTCGGGGCAGGATGAGAGGGTTTTTCAGAAGGAAGTGTGAAAATCAGGAAGATGGAATTATTTTTTTTTGAACTGTTTTTTTTAATTTATTTTTTTTATTGCTAAAAGTATTACAAAGGGTATTACATATGTGTCCTTTTTTTTTCTTCCCCGCCCTTGACAATCCTCT